AAAAAAAAAAAAAAAAAAAAAAAAAAAAAAAAAAAAAAAATTTTCATCGACTATAGAATCCTATTCCCAAATGAATAAAGCCAACATCGATATTATACACGTATCTCGATTTATACACACTACAAAGAACGTGCGTGTATCTCCTTATCCCCACCCACGCGTCCACAAGTGCTTGGAAAAAGGCTGCGCTGTCACAGATATGCAGCGCCCGACTGCACGTAAAGAGCTTTGGACGCGGGTCGCGCAATTACTTTGCTAAACGAAGAGCAGCGGCAACGTCTGTACGTTACATGTATAAGGGGGCGAAGGGGTATATACACGCGTCATGCACGGCGGGGATTAAAAGTGACCGTAATTTTGATACCGGCGGTAAAATCACGTTGCAGCTTATATCACGTGCGCGGCGAGACCAGCAGAGTTGGGAAAGGACAAGGGTATTACACGCCGCTCTATAATCCCCCTCTAGGACCAGATCGTAAAGTCACAGGTGGATGACTCGAGCGTCGTACGGCTCTGTGTGTCTTTTGTTTTAATGCTTCATTTTCCCCGTACCATTTCATTTTTTATAACCTAATGCCGTGTCCATAGGAAAATGATGTACTAACGAGAACCTCATAAACTCTTCTCGGGCGCACATCATGATAGTTGCAACTGTTCAAGTTTTTAAAAATCACAATAACAATTTACGCTTTTAGTAAATCTAAATGTATAATTGGAGACTGTTTTTCCTGCGTAACTGTATGTGAGAAACAAGGAGAAAACCTGTGTATTCGTTCGAGGAAACTTTGCGCAAAATTGCATCAAAAGACGGGAATAACAACCAACCCGAAATCCTCAAAGACACCCCAGCGTCTTTTAATAAAAATCCCACGCTCGCGTTGGGCAAATTGAAAGGCGGCAATTCGTCCTTTTCACCGCGACCCATCATCCGAACCCCCAAAGTAACTCGATCCCGGCGAGCGAAAGAGATTACGGAAAAAAAAGTAAGTTTCGCGGTGGAAACGAATTTTGTTTCTTTCCGCACACGAGCGGTAATCGTGCAAAGTCGACGGTATTAGTGGAAACGCAAAAAGTTGAGACCCTGCGCTTCAAAGTCAATTCCGGAGTTGACGGGGCCGGCGAAGAAAGGATGGAGACCGACGGAGCGTGAAACGAAAGGCGTTCCCACCGCGTGAGAGAGGGAGGGGGGGGGCGATAAAAGTGCCGTGGAAAAGAAAATTTCCATCCGTCGCATTGTACACATTTACGCCCGCTCTTTCAACTCCCGACTTTTCACTCCACCCCCCACGCGTTAATTGCAATGGTATTAATTACGTTAATGGACCGGCGTGTAATCTTTCGACCCTCCGTTGTCCTTTTTCGTCTCTCTTCCAGCCCACTCCAGACGGGGCTCATCTTCCTCGAGA